ACACACACACACACACACACACACACACACACACACACACACACAGGTATGCGGCGTTTTTTTTTTGGGCCAAACATACACAAAAGGCTAGGGGGTTGATGACTTGCATTGTTTTTCCTCCAGATTGTGCTAGATGTTGGTTGTGGCTCTGGGATCCTGTCTTTCTTTGCGGTCCAGGCAGGAGCAAAGAAGGTCTATGCTGTCGAAGCAAGTACAATGGCTCAGCATGCTGAGGTATATACTCAAATGAAATCTTTAAAAATATAAATGTGACTTGTAAATAGCAGTAAATTCCTATCTGAAAAATGTGGTTCGATCTCGCGTCAATCTCACCAATTACTCCTTCCTAATCACAAGTGTGTCTTCCCATGTAGGTGCTGGTGAACAGTAACCGTCTTGGGGACCATGTGATTGTCGTACCAGGAAAGGTGGAGGAGGTGACGCTTCCTGAACAAGTGGACATCATCATATCTGAGCCCATGGGCTATATGCTTTTCAATGAGCGCATGCTTGAGAGCTACCTACATGCCAAGAAGTTTCTTAAACCCAATGGTAAACTTGATTTTAATGGTAAAACACAAAGTAAGATTGGTTGAAATTATATGTTAATAAATATATTTGAGTGACATCCTGTTTTTGTGTTTCTGTTGTTGCTTTTGTTTTTAGGTAAAATGTTCCCTACGATCGGGGATGTTCACCTCGCTCCTTTCACAGATGAGCAGCTGTACATGGAGCAGTTCACGAAAGCCAATTTCTGGTGAGGAGAAAGAAAGAGGCAAGAAATGTTGTAGATCAGTTATTCTCAACTGAATCTGGGGGGAGAGGGGGGTCGCAAAAAGCAAGTCAGAAAAAAATGGAAGGAGAGCTAATGTGCAACCATTGTGTTGAGGCATGCATGCACACCCCCGATCTGTCTGTCTGTCTCTCTGATTCGCAACTGATTCTGAAGATCCCAGACTTGAACAGCTGTACATTAAACAAGAACTGCACCTACAAAGCTTCAACAATTAATGTCTTCCGTTCACAAATGTTTGTTGAATGTTGTGAAAATAGAAGGTGATACAACACAGAGGTAAACATGACCCTGTCCCGGCTATTATGGAACATGTTGCAGTCATATGTCAATGATTTGCTAAAAATAATATTTATCAAGTTGAACAATAAATATCTTGTCTTTGTAGTATATTCAATTAAATAGAGGTTGAACATGATTTGTAAATCGTATTCTGCTCATAATGAGCACAACATCTCAACTTCAGTGGAATTAGCTTTGTAAAATCCATCCATCATCACAAACCAGCAATATTACAAAATGATGCAGCACTTACAATCACCCAGGAATAATTCAATTACCAAGGCAAAATTCGATTTGGTTAAACAGTTTCAACCATCAAGCTGTCTTGACTCAATACCACATGACTTTTTTCAAAACTAAATAAAAGCAGATATGTGTCACATATGGGCATGATGTTGAAACATGGAGTTTGTGATGTTTTGTGAAACGCTACTGACGTAGCAAGACACTGTTTGACAAGAACACAAAGTTGTTTTTGAAGGTTTAAGAATGCACAAAAAGTCGCATTAGGCCTGGTTAAAAAAAAAAAAAAATCACAATTTAAAGTTGTATCCTATTTTTAAAAAAATTGAATCCCAATATGTCAGTACCCCAAAGTGGCCCGGACTGCGAGGGCCCTTCAAATCAATATTAATTCGTATTTGCAACATTTTAAGGATTAAAACTATCAAACTGATGGCTCATTATCCCCCCATCCCATCAAACTTATATCTCATTATCTTTTTTTCCCCCCCTCAGGTACCAGCCCTCTTTCCACGGTGTAGATCTCTCCGCGCTGCGAGGTGCAGCAGTCGATGAGTATTTCCGCCAGCCAATTGTGGTATGTACTGTATACCAGGGATCCTCAATAGGCGAAGTCTGGTCTTGTAACTTTTCTGGTCATTGTGGTAATAAATGTATGCACATAGAAAATGCACAGACTGATTGTGTGCATTGTAATGCCCACGTGAAATGACTGAACCGATCAAGTAGTTGAGAAGCAGCTTCGTGGAGTAGTGGGTGAATGCAGGACAGAGAAGTGGTGGTGTCCAGGAAGTAAGTTTAGGATCAACAGATTGTTTTGATTTAAAACACAACAGCTGACAAAAAGCTGTGTTGAAGCTGTTGTTCCACTTTATTCGGGTCAGGTTGTGGAAGCAGCAGACTAAATTGAGGATCCCAGACCACCCTCGCCCAGCCACTTTCTCCAACTTTTTTGGGGAAATCCTAAGACTTTTAGGCTTGTCAGGCGTCTTAGTCTCTTTAATGTGTCCTGGGACTTCCCGGGATGTGAATGAAGCATGTCATGAGGCAAGCATCCAGTGGGCATTCTAACAATAGGGTCCACTGGGTTCAGATGAGCAGCGGCTCTCCTCTGACCTCCTGGATTACGAAATTACTTATTTTGCTCTTTCCGTCACTACCTGGGACCAGTGCTGGTCAAGTTACTTCCAAAATGTGATACATTTACGTATTACAATTTTTTTTTTTACAATCTGTGTAGATTATGTGATGAATTACTTTTCATTGACTTTTTAGTTAATTGTAATTTCTCATAGAGGGGAGGAAGGTAGGGGTCATAAAATGAAAGTCGAATGAGGTCTATATTGCATCAGCAAATAGTAGTTACCGTGAATAGCTTAATTTCAATCATGTCATGGTGTTGAATAATTAAACAACCCAAACCTTTACACGACATGAGACAAACTCTATCTGTGACTCATTTATTTAACTCCTGAGCTATAAAGTGGGGTCACACACAGGTTGAGCAAAAAAGTCTGTAAAATTAAACATGCGAATTGTTTATACTATTTCACTTATAAAAGTAAACGTGCACTTCAAGAATGAGGTTTTACAGCAACCTGACAGGAACATGTTTTGTAATTAAACGGACTGAAAACGGGTCCTCAAGTAAATCAACCTCTGTTGGGGGGAAAAAATGCTCTTGCTGTTTACCTGCCTTGAGTACACGCTTTACTTGCACACTCTCAGGAAGAAGTCAAGTTAACTGCAGCAACAATTGTTCAAGCTATTCATGACAGTAACACTCCGTCAACGCGATAAAAAGGCAAAGTAAAAAAAAAAAAAAAACTTTACCAGATAATATATATAGACCAAGCTATGGTACTGTTTTATTTTGAAGTTGTTCCTTGCAGTGCATCTCGACGTAACTTTGACTTAGAACTCGTCTTCCAGAATGTTTAGGGTGTTTATTACCATAACATGTTGCTATCAACAACAACATCACAAAGTTCTCCTGAAATAATGTTAAAACGCTGATTAAGGATGCTAAAAAAAGACTTCATTACGCTAATGCTGTATCGTACGGCACATGTTGTCGGCGTTTAGTGCTAGCCGCTAGCAGCGCTTAAGTTAATAGAACTAAATGACGATACGGTTGCTGTTGCCGATGAACACTTTTTAATAAATCAGGGTTACTCAAACGTGTTGTTTTAGCTTTGACTCATTTAATACACAATCCGTACATATAAGTAAAAAAAATAAATAAAAAAAACACCATCCCTGCCTACCGAAGCCGTATGTATAGTATACATCTTTAATGTTTTTTCACGCGAGAGTGTACAGGACGGTCTAACGCAATTTTTGACTGGAGTAGTCTTGACTGCAATGTTAATAATTAATAAAACGCCCAGCCAGGATCATGTTTGAGAGGAAGAATAGTAGCAGGAATAAAAGAAGAGAACATGGTGGAAAGGCAGTCCATGTAGAGTGGGCATGCAGAAGGCGGAAAGAACATGGAGACAGTGCAGATGGATCAAGCAAGACACCTGACCCGCGGGGATTGTTTTTTTGTGGGGGTGGAAACGCCTCCTCGTCTAAACATGATGACAGCAACCAAGTGGCTTTGGGGGAGGAAATGACACTTCATCCCAGAAACGTAACAAGCAGGCATCAAGCGAGCTTCCACATGAGTATGGCTCGCATGGCTCACGATGCTTTTCGCCCGAAACCTCTTCTGACAATAGCGATGAAGACGATGAATATGCGCTGGATCCAGATATGTCTGAGTGCGTCCCTTCAGTCATGGAGTGGAAGCAGCAGGGACTCACAGAGTCTTCGCTCAACGCTTGAGAACGAGGAGGTAAGAGCTAACGAGCATGCAAGTTCTCCGTCGTAGCTCACCCTTCATGCCCTCATCAGTCAATTACATGCACGTCATTTTGTCCTACTGCACTATAAGGTTGCCAGTAATACTAATAATATCTGTACAGGTCAGCTTTTAGATGTGGACAAATAAATGCGGCGTTTATGTGCAGTGTCGCTAGCTAGATAGGCGGACGTATTGTCATTGTTACAGTTCATTGCACAAGACAAAAAGACTTGGTTCGGTCAGTTCTGTTAAAAAAAAAAAAACATTGCTGCTCTCTTCATTTATTCAGTCAATTGGATGCTGAGCAATGAGGACTAAGTCACTTATGTAAGCATTGTGTGTATATGTGACACACAGAGAGAGCGAGAGAAACAGAGATGAAGAGATGAGGAAATGTCACTATGTACAGTAAAATATGAGTGGTAATTGTACATATTTCTATAAATTACAGATTCCATCCAGGAGCCCAAGAGATTCCCCTTGTGTTGTTGCAAAGAAAGATGAAGAAAAAGTATAATACTTCACATTGTAGTAATAAAACAGAATTTTTTTGTCATTGTTTATATTTTTTTAATTTACTATTTGTGCATGTAGAATTGGTGAGGATCATTCAAGTTCCCAGCCAAAAACATCCCCTTGACAGCAACCGCTGAACAACTGAACTCTGACCAGCCAGCTGACTTACTGCAGCTGTTCATAACCAACGAGCTGCCATCACTAAAAAGGCCACGCCACAAAGAAAATGCCGGGGTCTTCTTGCGCCTGGAACTAGAATGTGGTGTGAAATTTTGAAACATTTTTTAAAACTTTGTACCACACACACAAAAAAAGTTGTGTAATTTTTAAGCGCACACCTGCTTAGTAAGTCAGTCAGTCAGTCAGTCACTCCTGTACATTGTTCAGTTCAGTAGTTCAATGTGCAAATAAATGATTTTGCTAAAGCCCTCTTTGTAGTGTTGTTATTTTTGCAGACTGAGACCATTATTTGAGCTGTCACAGAAGCAAAAAGTAGTTGTTAGTCTAAGCCAGGGGTCGGCAACCCAAAATGTTGAAAGAGCCATAATGGACAAAAAACAAAAACAAAAAACAAATATGTCTGGAGCCGCAAAAAAATGAAAGCCTTCTATAAAACTTACAATGAAGGAAACACATGCTGTATGTATGTAGGAGACTGGACTGTCTCAGAATTGTTTGTTATTCATTCCTTTGTTGTGTGTTCACAAACGCCCCCATAGAATTTATTTTGTGATTTCCTCGCCTGATTTTTTGTTTTGGTGCATTATTTTCGCTTTTCTTAGTGTCAGTGAAGTGATCATGAATTTCCGTTTTTCGGAGGCTGTCTTTGAACGCCTCTCGAGTCGAATGAGAAGAGAGAAGGCACGGAGTCGGAGAAGACGTGTCTGTGTTTGTCGAGACTGTTAAAAGCATAAATAAAGTGTACGTTTTAAAAAACCAACACCAAAGCTCTCCTTTTTCGGAGCTGCAACATGTATCTATATCTATTTGAGCTATGTTAGCCTACTATCAAAATCTTTTTCCATTTTCAAACATTTTTTATAAAGCTCCAGGGAGCCACTAGATGTCGCTAAAGAGCCACATGCGGCTCTGGAGCCGAGTGTTTCCGACCCCCGGTCTAAGCTGTACTTGAAATGCTTCTCCAAAAAGCTGTTTTTCTTAATTTTTTTCATCAGAAATGGGGATTTTGATGAAACTTTGCTATAATCCAGTGCTGATAGCTGAAGAATGGAAAAAGATCGAAACATACTTTTTTTGCTCAAGATTTTCTTCGGCTGAAACAATAGAGTCCAATCTTTCTTTTGGTGGGTTCCATATTTATAGCGCCATAGACTTCAATATTCTGTAGGCTTTGCAAGATCAGCCAAAATCTAGTAAAACAGCTGGTAAACGGGGTTGCTCCAGTGAAAATGGCTGGGATTAAATGTTAACTAACTAAAAATTCTCTCTGAATAACCGATTATTCACTGGAATTTTCAGTAGATTATCCAAATACCCAACTTTTTAATAGCAGCAGCCCGAAAATGATTTTGGAAAGTGAGTGTACAGTATAGCCCACCCTGAAACAGCTGTCATAAAAGAACATGAGAATTGCATGAATAACGACTTACATTGAAAAATTTCAAAATTTGGTTTATTTCAGTCCCGTGAGACTGAAGCGTATAAGAACACCATACTTGATTTGTTTCTTAAACAGACATGTGGAAACACCAAAACTGATCTTGAAAACTCTGCTTCCTCCATTGGTATGGTAAAGTAGAACATCCAGTAAATTGACACTTGACATTTCGGCTCACATCCTTCTTCACCACATCATCGACACAGACACTTGCAGACACTGTAAAGCCCGTATCTCACTGAGTTTGCAAGTGTTTGCGCACGTAGCGAATGCTGTTTAGTCGTCGGGGTTTGTACAAGATCGCAAACGGTCGCAACGATGCTAAAGCTTGAGTAGTCGCCAAGGTTTTTTTTCTTGTTGTAACGAAATTTCGACTGCGTTCAAAAAATTTTTGCGTCAAGAAAAGCTTTTTTGCGACCGTTAAAACCGTTGCGCACATGAGGCGAATGTCTATGCAATCATTGTTGATTTTGAATGAACCCTGACGAAAAATCAACATTTGGGCTTTGCACAAACACTTTCCGCTCAATGAGATATGCCAGGCTATGTCATTCTTCCCTCATTCATGAACAAGCCCCAAATATACATGTGTGAACAACATTGTTGGTACCGGTTTGTTAATGAAATAAAAACCCAGTTGTCACAGAAATAACTTTTGGCAAGGCACATCAGGTTTATGGTCACTGATGCAAAAATTAAGCATACCAAGAAAAGAACACTGTCCAGACTGTGAAACATGGAAGGAGGCTCTTTTATGTTCTTGGGTTGCTTTGCTCCATCTGACACAGAGTTTCTTGAAGTTTGTGTAGAGTGCAATAAAATCTCAAGGCTGTCAAGGTATTATAGAGAGAAATGTGCTGCACAAGTTTTAGAAAGGCTGGTTTCAGTCACATATCATGGGTCTTGCAACAGTATCATAGCTAAAAACGCTCAAGAATGGCTATGCAAAATGTTGGACAATTGGGGAGTGTGGCCTTCTATCAGCCCTAATCTAAATCCTCTTGAAGATCTGAGAAAGCAGCCGAAACATGCTCTCTGGAGAAAACAACCTTCCAACCTGATACAACTAGAACACATTTTTTCTTGTAGTTTGCCAAAAATACCTGCTGTGAGGTGCAAAAGTTTCACTGAAAGTTTGAAAATCATTTGCTTGCAGACATTGCCTCCAAAAATGCGCAACAAAATTTTTTTTGGGGTGGATTATAAATCACACTTTTTTTTTATAGTTCGGTAGTTTAGTTTCCTAGTTTCGTCTTATACTAATACTCAGTTGTGACTTGCACAGAATAAATTAAAATTAGTGCTCTGATTGGTACCCCAAATCCTCATTCCCTTGACTTTATTTTGGCAATTGGCAAATACTTTTGATGCATTGCCGCCAGTGGCCAGTAATGCATCAAAAGGTAGGTACCGCATTTTCACGACCACAAGGCGCACTTAAGTCTTACATTTTTTTTAATCAAAATTGGACGGGTCGTCTCTCGTATATGCACCGATTTCCAAAATCTGTGAATGGTGTGTGACTTCGATGAACGCTACACTTGACTGACTGATGTTGTGCCGACATGCTGCTGATATAAAGGAAAGGCTAAATAAAATATAAGAAAAATGAAATTGAATTTAACATTACAATTGAATACAATTATGTTGTTTTGTGTGCTTTTTGCCATGTACCCAATCTTTATGGACTGTTAGTCAACATGTGCTTTCTAACTTCATAAAACAGCAATTAATTGCACTACTGCCAGTGTTTGTACTGCCTCGTTTGCCATTTTCTCTCAGCTTCCCAATTGCTTTCATTTCATTTTCATGGTGGTTACAAGTCGAGCAAGAATTGATCACATTTCAAACCCAAATTTGAAAATGAGTGTAAACTTTCAAGAAATCCGTATGACGAATATTATGGAACAACAAAACACATCTGTCATACATTACAATACTTGTCTCAGGTGAAACATGGGTGGATTAAAATGAAATGTGCTATCTTTATTGTGCATCAGATGATTCTCATTTCTTGTTCATATTGGAAGTCTATGAATGGAAACATTTGTTTTCATTCGGATTTGGCCTCATGGTTGTTATACTTGAGGAGGGAAGTGCATTGCTACGTACACATAGTTTAAATGTTAGATTACTTTTGCTCGATGGGATGAGCTCAGATCTCCATCCACAGGACACATTTGATATCCGTATCCTGATGGCAAAGTCAGTCAAATACACAGTCAACTTTCTGGAGGCCAAAGAAGAGGATCTTTACAGGTATGTGTTCACACATTCATTCGAGGTGTATGTAAGAGAGGGTTGATATTAGTTTAAGAAATTCTTTAATTGTATTTTGTTACCTTTTTCCCCTTGTCTTTTAGGATAGAGATCCCCTTTAAGTTCCACATGATGCACTCAGGCCTTGTCCATGGTCTGGCTTTCTGGTTTGACGTAGCATTCATGGGATCAGCGTAAGTCACACAGTAGATCATTAGAAATATAATGTCTCTCGTATTTTGGCTTGGTGTTTGGTGCAACCAAACCACTTCTGCCTGAAATTTGTCCCATACCTTTTCTTTTCTGTTATTTAAGCCCATTGCTTGTTCTCTCCTAACAGTATGACAGTATGGCTGTCCACCGCACCTACAGAACCTCTGACTCACTGGTATCAGGTACGCTGTTTGCTGCAGTCTCCTCTCTTCACAAAGGCTGGGGATACGCTGTCTGGCACTGCACTACTGGTCGCCAACAAGAGGTATGATTGTTGTCTCTGAATAAGGAAACTGACAAAACAGAAATTGGACACTGCATATACGTTGACTTAATAGGTGTCTGTCAAGTTTTTCACGTTCAAAAAACAAATACAGTGGTACATCTACTTATGAAATTAATATGTTCTGGAAATTTCTTAACTAGAACATTTTGTAAGTAGAGACGCGTTTTTCCATGTAAATGCCCTAATCAGTTCCAAGACCCCCCAAAATTCAGACATAAATGTTTTATGAAGCATAAAAATGCATCAATATATGTAACAAATACCTGTACATGTTACAATTTGATTATTGCACAAAGAATGAGAGTTGTGCGTAATGTAAAAAACAAAGAATAAAGGATAAAAATGATGGTCATTGTTTTAAAACATTTCTGATACCTCGCCCTGGCTCAGTATCAAATTTAGAATAGGTTCGTTGGAGATAGGCACTCAGAAATGAAACACAAGAGACAAATCTGCTACTAACAAATTGCACGTTTATTAGCGCCACAGAATATGTCACACAATCATTCAATAGCACAAGAGACAAATCTGCTAC